GTGTGTGAGAACAAGCATGTGTGAGGTGAGAATGCAGACAAGTGAACGTGAGACAAGTGAGTGTGCAGACAAGTGTGAAACAAGCATGTGAGAACAAGTGTGAGAATGTGTGCAGACAAGTATGGAAAGAACAAGTGTGAGAAAGCGTGTGTGAGGTGTGAATGTGCAGACAAGCGTGAGGACAAGTGTGTGTGAACATGTATGAGAACGTATGTGTGAGAGAATGAGTATGCAGACAAGTGTGGAAAGAACAAGTGTGTGTGACAAGCGTGAGAGAGAACGAATTCACGGGAAGGACAAAATGGCTGTGTGAGACAGGGAGGGTCCACAGCCTTCTACACGAGGGCACCACGGAGAAGTCACCAGCAGGGCCCGATCAAGGCTGGGCTTTAGAAGGTGCCTTTGGAAAAGCAACTAAAATTAGCGTGCCCCTCCCTCCCCGCGACACACGCCTCAGGATTGCCTCTGGATGATGAAGCTATTTCAGGAAACTGAAAAGCCAGTGGAACACGCATTTCCAAAGGACAAGAAGTCACCTCTAAGCTGCTGTGGCTCTTCTTTGAGAAGCAGAACATGTACCATGGTCAACAAAACATAAAACAATGTCAGGTTTCAACCGTAAGGACACAAACGTATCCACGTATTTCAGGAAGACCACAAAGGTGCCCCTGTTCTCTCCATGTTCCATTGTGACAGGTGTGGTAACTTTAACAGTTTTGGGACTGCAGCTCAGCACCTGAGCACGTGCTGAGCACATGCCTGGCACCCTGGGTGCATGAAGCTCCAGTCAGAACAAGAACCACCTGAAGTCCACTGGAAACACAAACTCAGGGTTCCCACCTTTCTCCAGTCTTTTATTTCGCAGATTTGGGTTGTCAGTAAACTTCAAGAATGTTTTTCTTATGTTTTTAAGTCCCAGGACTTCTGAGAGCTTCATTCTTGACCACAAGGGAGAGCTGATGTCCTGAGCCAGCAGCCAGCCTGAAATCCCTCCTTCCGCCTCACCTGCAAGGCTGTAAGGAATGGGTTTCTGGGAGCCCTATTCAAATGCTGCCACCTTCCTACCCCAAGCTGGTCCAGGGATCAGTATCTGACCCAGCTGGAATGGGGAGCAGAGGGGAGAGGGTGAGGATGAAGGAAAACTCAATGCTTTCTCTGGAATGCTGGCAGGCATGCTATTCCACACGTGGACTGCAGAACCAGATGGCATGAGTCTCAAGAGGGAGAGGGGAACGCAGAGGTGGAGACAGTCTTGAAGGCTTTCAAATTCCTGGTTCCATTCTGTTCCTGAGACTCAACTGCAGTCCCCTGTATACGTTTCATGAGACATCAATATACGCTATTTATTTTTAAAATAAATTCCTCTCCTTTTTACCCCCATTTGCTTAAGCCACATCAATTTCCAGAGTCCTTGGCTAATATGATTCAATGTCTTCTCATAACATAAGACAGTGCTTCCATTTTTACAGAGGAAGACATGGAATCTGTGCTTCAAAAGATGCCAGCACCTCCACATTCAACTGGAAGACCCTGAATGTGGCTGAAGGAACATGTTTGGACTAGAATCTTTTTTTTTTTAAGAGACGGAGTCCCGCACTGTCACCTGGGCTACAGTGCAATGGATCTTGGCTCATTGCAACCTCTGCCTCCCGGGTTCAAGTGATTTTCCTGCCTCGGCCTCTCGAGTAGCTGGGATTACAGGCACCCACCACCACACCTGGCTAATATTTTTTGTATTTTTAGTAGAAATGGGGGTTTCACTATGTTTGCCTGGCTGGTCTGGAACTCCCAACCTCGTGATCTGCTCACCTTGGCCTACCAAGGTGCTAAGATTACAGGTGTGAGCCACCATGCCCAGCTGCTTAGGACCATTTCTAAGGGATGTTTTGGGAAAGACCTCCTGGATCCCCTCTAGTCGAGGGATAATCTAAACAAGACTAAGGGCTCTGAAACAACCTTAAAACTGTATGCTGCCCAACAACTACCAAGTGAGAGTGATTCCCTATGCACAGCCAATGGCAAATGCCAGTTGCTCCGGTCCTTATCAGAACATTTATCCAAGCTTTTCTACTTACCTATAATTCACCTCTAGTGGCCAGGTGTGGTGGCTTACGCCTGTAATCCCAGCACTTTGGGAGGTTGAGGTGGGTAGATCACCTGAGGTCATGAGTTCGAGACCAGCCTGGACAACATGGAAAAACCCCATCTCTACTAAAAATAGAAAAAAGTAGCCTGGCATGGTGGTGGGTGCCTGTAATCTCAGCTACTTGGGAGGTTATGGTAGGAGAATTGCCCAAACCTGGGAGGCAGAGGTTGCAGTGAGCCAAGATAAAGTCATCGCACTCTACCCTGGAAGACAAGAGTGAAACTCTATCTCAGAAAAAAAAAACAACAAAACACCAAACACCTCTAGTGTCATGCCTTTACTAGAATACTAAACCTACATGTAGAAAAATATTTAAGTTCTTAAAATCTGAAGACTTACTATGTGTTAGCTATTGTACTAAGTAGTTTACGTTCATTGACATTTAATTTTCAGATTTAATTGTGTGATACGGTCATGTCCATTTTACAGATGGGAAAATTGAGGCTTGAAGAAATAAAATAAGTTGTTCAAAAGATACACTAAGAGAAAGAACTGGGAGTGGAAAGCCAGGCTGTCCAACACACACTTCTGTCACCTAACCAAGGCACTGTGCTGCCTTATTCACCTATGTTCCAAGTTCATCACTTCAGCAACGTTGATGGTTTTTTTTCCCTCTTCGACAAGTTCTACATTGCAACAGCTCAAGTAGAAAAATGTGTAAAGGTTTCATAACGGTTTCTAAATCATCCAGATAGTAAAAAGAAGCACACAAAATAAAAAACCCTTCTAGAAATATCTTTTGCCAGGATGAGGAGGAATTACTTGGCAGCCAACAGTGAACTCTGTTCTCATATTTTCCAGTAAAAGAAACAGAAAAATTTCCTTTTCACTGAAGCACACGTTTGATTACTTTACTCACCATATAAGGAAATGAGTGATTCTGAACTTTTCAGCCCCATCCTTCTTTTCTGAGCACAAAATTTCATTTGGAAGTTAATATGTTATTTTAAAAGTAAAGTCATCTGTGGAAGTTCCAAACTAAGTAAGAGTACTGTTAAAAGCTAAGGAAGATTTAAAGATTTGGATTTTGTTACATTCTGAAATGAATGTTTTCACTAAATTGTTAAAAATGTCCCTGGCTAAAAATGGATAAGCTAAAAATACTTAACAATTTGTTAAGAATAGTGGAGATTTTTTGGTCAATAATGAAGGTGGTTTCTTAAACATACCGGACTTTTAACGACTGGCATGTGAAAAAAAAACCCCGAATTTTAAATCTTATGAATCTCTTAACTTCCTGAAATTTTAACAGTAAAATTTGACAGAGATGACCTAGAAGTTTTTGGATGTTCCCATATTTTATGTACTTAAATTTGATTCAAAATAAGCCCATTATTTCAATCAGAACAGTGATTTTATTCATAACAGAAAGTGATGGCACTTATTTTGTTTTCATACAGAAAAAGTACATCCTGTAGTAAACTTAGTTTATGACAAGTGTAGATAAACCCATGTTTTAAAAGCCAAATAACATTTTTTAATAAGTTACTTGAATCAAATTGTATGAGTTAATATTCCTCCTTTAAATTACGTATGATGTTGAAGGTATCTCCATAAAGGACTCCAATGGCACATCTTGAAGAGATATTTCAGAAACAGATCAATTCATCCATTATTCATTTACCAAACTCTGGGGAGACAGTTATGGTCCTTGCTTTCAAAGAGCTAACAATAACTGTGCAGAAACTGCTGAAAGGAAGTGAAACAAAAGGGGCAAAGAAAGCCTTCTGTAGAAAGGAAAAGACGCAGGGAGGCAGGAGTGAGGTGCAGGTGGATACTTTTCCTAGGGTATAGTTTGTGAAGATTGGGATGCTCACTGGGACAGCAGGGGGAAATCAGGCTGGAAAGGGAGCGCCCGTCTAAATCACCACAATCTCATCTGCCAGGGAGAGACAACCATATGGGCAGTGCACACCTGGAGAAGATTGCCCGGAGGACAATGAACATGGAAGGCAGCAAAGGGAGACACCAGCCAGAGGCTGCAGGAGCCCAGGTAAGGAGGAAGGAGTCTAGTAGGAGTAACAGTTCTGTTGTCTTGGTTTTGTGGGAAATAGCAAACAGTAAGTATTAACTACTAAAAACAACAACAACAACAACAAAAAACCACAGTACAGGTTCAGCATCCCTAATCTAAAAATCCAAAATGCTTCAGTAGCGGAAACTTTTTGAGTACTAGCATCATGCTCAAAGGAAATACTCACTGGAGTCTAATGCAAATAGCATAAAAACTGAAACACATATGGTCCCAAGCATCACTGATAAGAAATATTCAACCTGTATATAAAACTGTATGTACAGTTCATTGAACACACCCCAAATGAGGAAGGAGGTGCGTGCAAATGATGGCAGCACTTATCTCTGGAGGGGAAAGAGGGAGGTGTACAGGTGAGTCTTCTCAACAGTGTTCAGGAACATGAGCTCTGTATCAGACTAAACTGGATCTGTACACAGGCTCTTACTAGTTGTATGATTTGGAAAAATAAGGGAAAAAAATCTCAGTTTCTGAACAGTAAAAGGAAACAACATTAATATTTAGTACAGTTAGGATTAAATGAGAAAATATCTATAAATCATATTAAGTGAGGTGCTAAATTAAATGTGAGCTAAGACCTACACTTCTGAAGAAGTCTGTTTTTAAATTTTTGTAACATTTTTATAATCAGGAAAGAGAGCTGCTTATCAAGAGATAAGCTCTCAGTTAAGGCACAAAGAGATACCAAAAACCCCACATGATTCATGCAACAGAAAGGGACAATGAGTTGATAAAATTTTGTTTCTCCGCTTATATATTCTTCCATGGGTATGTATTTCTGTCCTGAATGGGGAAAATAAAATGAAATAAATATGGACTTACTGGTTTCCTAAGGAAGAAGAGAGACAAAGCTCCAACTAAAGGCATATCTCCAATCAGTGGTTCCAGAATCACCCGCATGGTACCGTGAATCTAAACTCAAACAGGAAATCAAAACAGGTAATAGAAAACAATTCTGCAGGGCCGCTTAACTCAAGGAGTTTGCACGTGCATCTTAGTAACTTCTGAGCATGTGGCTTATTTCTTTCAACTATGACCTACAGTTAAAACCTGAACTTCAGAAAAATTCCAAGATAAAAAAACTTCTTGATTTTCTTTTTGAATATAGCTTAAAGAACTTTAGAAAACTACCAACTTTAAAAAAAAAACTTACCTGAATACTTTTCACACCAGCTCTACAAAAATAGCGTTTGATCTCCAAATCAATCTCACAATTTCCTACAAAACTAACAAAGAAAAAATTCTGCATTACATAATGTGAGTGAAATGAACTATTTTCTTAATCAGTATAGACCTGCAAGATATATAATCTGAATAAAATGATAGTAAAGCAGCCAAAATCAGATCGTAGGTAAAAGCCATAAAATGTGGCCTCTCACATCATAGAACTTTACTGGTCCAGGTCTGCAGGCTGTCATCAGATAAGACACTGCTATGACACTGGGAGGAATACTCTTTATCAATTAATAAATAAATGTTTGGTGGTAGTGGTGGTCTTATATATAAATATCTTAACTAAATATAAATATCCATGTTCAAAAGAAAATGTAAATAACGAAGTGCAGCTTCTGAAGCAGTCTTTTTTGGTGCAACGTAGTTTTCCTTACCTTACAAACCTGATGTTTAAAACATTAAAACGTTTAATTTTATTTCACACAAATAACTTTCACACTTTCCTTCCCAAACATGAAAAATCTCACAGTGCCCCAGGCCTCTGTAACATCAAAGACTAGAAGCAGTGCATCTGTTTGGGGCCTCAATTTTATTGAATGATATAAGTCATTTCAAATATTAATATGAAACAAGCATAAGGCTAAAGGCAAGATTTGCATCCATTTTTAATATCAACATGAAACGTCAAATACTTTTTGTATGGGTAAGTGTAGGCGCTGATCTTCACCCTTGGCTGTGGAGGTAGGACGTCACACTCCTCCCTGACAACGTTTGTGGGGAAGTTTGATAAATCCTAGACAGGGAAGGTCTATGCAGATAAGCAAAATCATAACAAAAGGAATCTGGGATATATTTCTTCCAATATTTATTGTCCTGGTGTTAAAGCCAATGCCTACAGATTCTTCTCACTGAGAATTGCTCTCTACCTAGTTGGTAAAATCACCAATAACCTGTTACAAAACTATTTTAAAAACTTTCCTTTTCTTCATCCTATGACTTGATCATTTTCTTTTCTTTGAAAGGGGGTCTCGCTCTGTTGCCCAGGCTGGAGTGCAGTGGTGCGATGACTCACTGCAATAGTCGCCATCCAGGTTCAAGCAATTGTCCCACGTCAGCCTCCTTAGTGGGGATTACAGGTGTGTGCCACCACACCCAGCTAATTTTTGTGTTTTTAGTAGATGTTGGTAAGGCTGGTCTCAAACTCCTGACCTCAAGGGGTCCACTCACCTTGGCTTCCCAAACTGCTAGGATTAACAGATATGAGCCACCGCACCCGGCCTTGATCATTTTATTTTCTAATACTTTTCAATTACTCCTTCCAATTAAAGTGCCAATTAGTTAAAGTGCTTGTCTAGAACTCACAACAAAGTAGAATACCTATTTGTTCAGACACGTAAATCTGAGCAGGACACTTTGCATGAGTTATGGCAGCTAACCATGAAACCAGACTTCAACTTCAGAATGGTGTCCACTGATTGATGAATTTAAACTTGCTTGGCACTGAGGACACTAGACAGCTTCCACCTCCTGAAGCCCAGTATCAGCCCAGTGGATAGTCCCTCCTGGATCATAACCTGACCTGAGACATACATGGGACTCTTCTTTTATTCCACTGAAGACAATGGTGTTTGCCCTAGCACCAACTATTTTAAAGATGCAGATTTTTTTCATATTAGATTGAAGCAAGTCTATGCTTCTTTCTGAAATAAAGGCAACCTGGTACCAACTCTGTACATTCACTATATTTACAAACTTCGGAAACTCAAAGATAATCACTTTAATAAAATGATCCTTTGTCAACAATCTAAAAAAGCATACAACTCTGAGCTGCTAGATACCACATGGTTGTTCGGAGTGCACAGCACTTACTGCGACCCACACGGTGTGCTGTGAGGCCCACACGCAGCAGGAAGCCCTGAGCAAGCTCAAGGAAGGATGAGGACAAAAGACAAGGAAAGCTCACTTTTTTTTTTTTTTTTTTTGAGACGAAGTTTCGCTCTTGTTACCCAGGCTGGAGTGCAATGGCGTGACCTCGGCTCACCGCAACCTCCGCCTCCTGGGTTCAGGCAATTCTCCTGCCTCAGCCTCCCGAGTAGCTGGGATTACAGGCGCGGGCCACCATGCCCAGCTCATTTTTGTATTTTTAGTAGAGACGGGGTTTCACCTTGTTGACCAGGATGGTCTCGATCTCTTGACCTCATGATCCATCCGCCTCGGCCTCCCAAAGTGCTGGGATTACAGGCATGAGCCACCGCGCCCGGCCCCAGAAAGCCCACTTTTGAACACAGCTGCATCACTGCCCTCCAGCCTGGGCAACAGAGCGAGACCCTATTGGGGTTAGTGGGGGCAGGGAGCAAAGGAAGCCTATTTTTACTATGGTAGGCATGGTAGTTGGCAGATCTTCAATTTTTTTTTCCAATGTAAAATACTGTATTAAAATACACCAAAAATTGGCTGGGCACAGTGGCTCAGGCCTGTAATCTTGGCAATTTGGAAGGCTGAGGCAGGCAAATCACTTTAGGTGAGGAGTTCAACACCAACCTGGCCAACAAGGGGAAACCTTCTCTCTCCTAAAAATATAAAAATTAGCCGAGTGTGGTGGCAGTGCCTATAATCCCAGCTACTCAGGAGGCAGGATAATTGCTTGAATCCAAGAGGCAGAGGTTGCAGGGAGCCAAGATTGCGCCACTGCACTCCAGCCTGGGTGATAGAGCAAGACTCTGTCTCAAACAAGTTAACATAAATAAATAAATAAATTTAATTAAACACACAGAAAATCTACCCCCATTAACATTTTTAAGTGTACAACTCAGTGGTAATAAATACATCCATAATATGCAACCATCACCACCATCCACCTCCAGAACATTCTTCATCTTGCAAAATGAAGACACACTAACTGCCCATTCCTTCTGCCCCCAAGCTTTGGCAAGCAGCATTCTGTTTCTGTGTCTATGAGTCTGACTTCTCCGGGAACCTCACTCAAGTGGAATTACGCAGATGCTGCCCCTTTGTATCTGGCTTGTTTCCGCCAGCATAAGGTCCTCACAGTCCAGCATGCGGCAGCCTGGAGCAGGAGGCCCTTGTTTTTAAGGCTAGGACATACAGGCCACATTTTGTTTATCCACTCATCGGCCCACAGACACTTGGGCTGCTTCTGCCTTTTAGCTACTGTAAATAATGCTGATAAGAATGTGGGTGTGCAAATATCTGCTCCAGTCCTGCTCTCAATTCTTTCAGGCATGTACAATAGAAGTGGAATTTCTGGATCATACGGTAATTTTGTTTAAGGCTTTGAGGAACTGCCAAATTGTTTCCACAGCAGCAGTACCAATTCACATTTCTACCAACAGCGCACAAAGACTCCCATTTCTCCACCTCACCAAGACCTGTTATTTTCTGGGTTTCTTTTGACAGTAGCCATTCTAATAGGTGTTAAGTGGTATTTCATTATGGTCTAGATTTGCATTTGCCTAATGTTTAGTGGTCAGTGTCTCTTCATGTATATCTTCCCTGGAGAAATGTCTATTCACGTTCTTTCTACATTTTTGAAAAGGGCTGTTTGGTTGTTCTGTTGTTGAATTTCAGGAGTGCTCTATATATTCTGGATGATGACTGCTTATTCATGATTACAGGGAATGCATTAAATCCCAGATTGCTTTAGGTGGTATTAACATCTAAGCACTATTAAGTTTTCCAATCCATGAATTAAAAAAGAATGTTTTGCTATTTATTTGTATCTTCTTTGATTTCTTTCAGCAATATTTTAGTTTTCAGTCTACAAGTCTTTCTCCTCCTTAGTTAAGTTTATTCCTAAATATTTTATTCTTCTTGATTCTATTATAAATGAAACTGTTTCATTTTCTTTTTGGATTATTCATTGTCAGCGTATAAAAATGCAACTGATTTTAGTGGGTTCACTTAATATTCCTACTACTTTGCTGAATTCATTTCTTAGTTCCGAGAGTTTTTTTTTTTGGTGTAATCTTTAGGGTTTTCTACATATGAGATCATCTCATCTGTAAAGAGAAAGATTAAGTCCTCCCACTGGGTGCAGTTGCTCATGGCTGTGATCCCAGAACTCTGGGAGGCCAAGCTGGGTGGATCGCTTGAGCCCAGGAGTTCGGACCAGCCTGGTAAACATAGTGAAACCCCATCTCTACACAAAATACAAAAATTAGACACACATGGTGGCATGCACCTGTAGTCCCAGTTACTCAGGAGGCTGTGGTGGGAAGATCGCTTGATCCAGGAGGTCAAAGCTGCAGTGAGCCAAGACTGCACCACTCCACTCCAGCCTGAATGATAAGCCAAGACCCTGTCTCAAAAAAAAAAAAAACACCAAAACCCAAAAACAAACACGCATGTGCACACACACACATACACACGCACACACACAGTCTTTCTTCCTTTCCAACCTGGATGCACTTTGTTCCTTGCCTAACTGCTCCAACTAGAACTCCCAATATTGTGTTAAAGAGAAGTAGTGAAAGAGGGCGTCCTTGCAGTGTTCCTGATTTTAAAGAAAAAGCTTTCAGTTTTTGACCACTGAATATAATGTTGACTGTGGGTTTTTCTTAACATGGTTTTTTTTATGTTGAGATAGTTTCCTTCTATTCCTAGTTCACTGAGTGTTTTTATCATGAAAGAGTACTGAATTTTGTTAAATGCTTTTTCTGCATCCACTGAGATAATCACGTGATTTGGTTTTTTCCTTCCTGTTAATGTGGTATATTACATCAACTAATTTTTGTATGCTGAATCATCTTTACATTCTGGGAATAAATCCCATTTGGTCATGGTGTAAAATCCTTTTGTAAAAAAATTATTTTTTGGCATGGTGAACTGAGAAAATCCTTTTAATATGCTGCTAAATTCAGTTTGCTACTATTTTTTTAAGGATTTTTGTATTAATGTTCATAAAATATATTGGTCCAGTTTTCTTTTCTTATGGTATCTTTAACTTCTTTTTATGTAACACATTTTATGAATGGCAATTATCCAGGCTACTAGAAACTGGACCCAGAAGGTGAATAATATTTGGATGTCTAACAAGAATTTAGTCTAATTCCAACCACAGCAGGTATGACGTGTGCTCACTGTATCTTCCACCTTACAAGTACAACTAAGTGACATTACACACCATTAACCATGACACAAATATAACAAATAAAAACTTACCTAATCTGAAGGTCCAAAATAATTTGTCTCTTGTCTACATTTTCAGTATATACCTTAACACCATTGATCCTGAGGGGCTGAAAAAAGAAGTAGCTTATTTTAAAATACAGAGGTTTAAAAAAAAAATCAAACCTTGTAACATAGTATAAAGAGAACAAGCTCTAAGTGACAGGAATTAAAATTCTGCCTTCAAAACAGAGTGCAGCTTGATTTTAAGCTATTTAACCCTTGTTTCTCAGCTTCCTCTCATGAGCTGCAGACAATAACGGCCTCCTTTTCATAAGATTACTGTGAAATTAGGTGACGAAATAAATGTCAAGAATGTAGTGCATGCCTTGCTCACAGTAATTAAGCAGCACCGGGTATGACTGCTGTTGCCAGCACATGTAGCGTTACATCCGTGCTCTTTTCAAGCCTCCTACTCTTGTCTCTTCCCATTTAACTTGACCCTTTCCCTCAACTCCATCCTTACTACTGTGTTTGAAATGTAACTTCCTTTCATTTATTCTTTATGTCTCATGATTTTTTATTTCTTAAGAGTTTCACATCCAGGCATAGAGGCTCAGGTCTGTAATTTCAAAACGATGGGATACCAAGGCAAAGAATTGCTTGAAGCCAGGTGATTGAAATCAGCATGGGCAACATGGTGAAACCCCATCTCTACAAAAAGTAAAAAAATTAGTTAAGATGGTAGTGCAGGCTTGTAGTTCTAGCTCCTTAGGAGGCTGAGATGGGGCGATTGCTTGAGCACCGGAGTTTGAGGCTGCAGTGAACTATGATTGTGCCACTGTATTCTAGACTAGGCAACAGTGTGAAACCCCACCTCTTAAAACAAAACAAACAAAAAACCAGGCACAATGGTTCGAAGCTGTAATCTCAGCTCTTTGGCAGACTGAGGCAGAAGAACCACTTGAACCTAGGAGTTTGAAACCAGCCTTAGTGGAGACCCCATCTCTACAAAAAATACAAAAATGACCCAGGCATGATGGCATGCACCTGTAGTCCCAGTTACTCGGGAGGTTGAGGTAGGGGGAATCCCTTGAGCCTGGGAGGTTGAGGTTGCAGTGAGCACTGATCACGCCACTGTACTCCAGCAGCCTGGGTGACAGAGTGAGACCCTGTCTCAATTAAGAAAGAAACGCCTTACCTCTGGAGTACACTGCTTACTTTGACAAGCTTGAGTATATTAAAATCACACCTCTCAACTAGCTGTCAAATCAAACTCGAAGCCTTTACTTGAGAGTCTAGCCACCTCCTATGCTCCCAAGTTTCCAGGCTGCTTCTTTATACTACTAAGCCATGTACAGACTGCACTGAGAAACACAACCAACACGCTATGCTAACAAATGAAAGCGGCGCATGCATCATGTGCATCAGATAACATACTCCCCAAATGACACAGAGATTCAGGGACCAACCCACTCCAGATGACTGGGCATTACCTAACAAAGGACAGACACCTGAAGGCAACACCACCCAGCTCCTGGGAGTCTTGGTCAGCACACAGTCTGGCCAAGGACCCTGCACAGGACTCTGAATGCCATTCTATCCATCCCTTCATCAGAAAGCCTGGTTTTGCAATTTTAAAGACATTGGTACAGTAGATGAAAATGCCAAAGCTATCTTTACTGAATCAGCATTCCTCTTAATGCTCTTGCTATTCTCCATGGATCTTCTTATTCAATTGGTATCAACCTTCAAGTGTGTGTGATGGAACTCAAACACAATTAAATTATTCCTAAAGTAAACCCAGCTGAGGCTGGAATTTTAAATATCCACAAACATGAGCATGCTGTAACTTAGGGCATTAACAGACTATGGTCTGCAGGCTAAATGTAGCCTTTGTCCTGACCCTGGAGCTAAAATGATTTTCACCTGGCTAAAGGGCTGTAAAAGGGAGAGACAGCAGGAAACTGTGCCACAGAGATGTTAGGTGGAATCAGAGCTAAAACATTATGACCTGGCCATGGACAGACACAGCATACAGCCCTTGCTTTATAGCATGTAACTTGTCACTGGGATTTTTACTTCCATTCCTATGGCACTTTAAGTTCTAACTGTGCTTTTTTCCCCAGCTGTGGTTACCATTTTAGGTGCTGAAAGGTAAAGTCAACACTAAAAGTGCCCCACAGGTGTCCTGTGCAGAGACATGGGCTCTCACACAGGATGGCCATGCCTCAGGCTCATCACATACAGGCAGTGCCACACATGAGACCACACAGGAGGCACTGGGTCTGGAGTAACTGCCTCTGAGACGGAGCATTCTCTGCACACAGAAAGCTCTGATGGAGAAAGGTGGCCAGCAGCCTGTAGAGCATGGGGTGGACACTGGCGCCCACTAACAGGTGGCAAACACACAGTAGCCGTGCCAGACTCCTCCCGCAGCCACATCAACCATAACCCTGAAGCGCACCATGCGGTGACATCTGTGTGCGGACTCTGCTGTGTGCACCAGCGTCTGCAAATTGTGTGTGTGTTTACAAGAACTATGACGTCCGGAGTCTTCTGTAGGCATATAAAACAATGTTACCTCGAACTATTGCTACTTATTTAAATACTGATTTTAAAACATAAAATAAAAAAGGAAAACTTACCATGATCAACTAAATGTACTCTTGAGGCTTTTTCCAGAAGTGTTATTAGGAAGCAGCAGCTTTCCTTTTTATATAACGTGACTCCATTAACAAAATCTGTCTTTCCTTCCACCTGTGTAGTTAATGTTATGCCTACCATACCAGCATTAGAGTCATTAATTGCTTTTTCTTTTAACATCCCGAAAGGGATAAACACCGTAAGCTTGTCAATGACTACACATTTAGCATGAATTCACAGATCAAACTCTCTCACAGGAAAGACTACGTAAAACTACTGCTTCCGAAAAGGGCATGCTGACAGAAGAACGTGCAGCAGAAAGACACGTTATGGAAAGAACGTTAAAGAGAAGCCATGTATGGAGGCTGACATGGCCAAGACACCACCACAGGTGAGAGGACAGCAGGACAGCCTCCCAACAGAGACGGGAAAAAGACACCATGGTGGGAGGCACAGCCTGAGTGACAGAGACGGGAAGGGCACTGCGGGCGAGAGGGCAGCAGGACTAGCGAGAGGATAGCAGGACAGGCAAGAAGACAGCAAGACGGCTTCCCGAGAGATGGGAAAGGGCACCATGGTTGGAGGCGGAGCCTGAGTGACAGAGACGGGAAAGGCACCCTGGCTGGAGGCAGAGCCTGAGTGGGAACTGTAGGTGCACCCCGCAGACCTTTTTGGTGAACAATTTTCTCCAGAGCATAATTTGAAGCTCTCTGTTTTCTGAGATAGGGTCTTCCTCTGTCACTCAGACTGGAGTGCAGTGGTGTGGTCATGGCTCACTGCAGGCTTAACCTCCTGGGGCTCAAGTGATCCTCCTGCCTCAGCCTCTCGTGTAGCTCAGACGGCACACACGTGCCACCACACCCAGCTAACTTTTAAAATTTTTTGTAGACTTGGGGTCCCACTTTGTTGCCCAGACTGGTCTCAAACTCTTAAGCTCAGGCCTCCCCAAGTGATGGGATCACAGGTGTGAACCACCATGCCCAGATGAAGTTGTTTAAAAAAGATATGCCCAGCTACTTGGGAGGCTGAGGTGGAAAGATCACATGAGCCTAGGAGTTTGAGGCCAGGCTGGGCAACACAGTGAGGCCTCCATCTCCGAAAAAAAAAAAGGAATAGAAAAGAAAATGTTTTTCATGTTTTCACAGTAGTCTGACTATGTGCACATGTGAAGACACTTAAGAGGAAACTGACCTGCTGGCCCATGTCGATCTTCGTGAAACTAAAGGTGCTAAGGTGGGTGTTTGCTCCCCGCACGGCTGGTTCTATAGTTTCTCGAAACAACTTCTCTATAAATTGGCAAATGAAAGGCCACATGTGTTTTACAGTCTGGAAAGGAAAAAGAACTCAGGTTAAACAAAATGCTGTAATGCATGACACACACAAATGCTCGTGAGAAACGCTCATAGCTGACCAAAACCTGGTTTTAAAAATAAAGGAGGAGAGGATCTTCCTGTTATACAAAATCAACATGATCTAAATTCTAAAAAGTTATTAGAAAAACCAACAACTGATTAACCAGTATGTTGCAGAAACTACTTATTCTGGTTAAATATTCTGTTTAAGTATGTCAGCACACTTAAATATTGCTAAAAATCCTGTGGTTTAAATTTGTTGCTGAAAACTTTCTTAAACTGTATAAATATTAATAAGCACCTATTTTTTTTTAACGACAGAACTTCCAGCACTGTAAGTGATCATCGACATGAGTTCACTGTGTGGCCCTCAAAAATGCATCAAATACAGAGATTAAAAGAGATCTCATTCAAGGCATACTACTCTAAAACCACAACCTTCAAAAAAATGATTGTTGGCCAGGCATGGTGGTTCACGCCTGTAATCCCAGCACTTTGAGAGGCTAAGGTGGGCAGATCACCTAAGGTGGGGTGTTGGAGACCAGCCTAACCAACATGGAAAAACCCCGTCTCTACTAAAAATACAAAATTAGCCAGGCATGGTAGCACATGCCTGTAATCCCAGCTACTTGGGAGGGTGAGGCAGGAGAATCGCTTGAACCTGGGAGGCGGAGGTTGTGGTGAGCCGAGATCGCTCCACTGCACTCCAGCCTGGGCAACAGAGCAAGATTCTATCTCAAAAAAAAAAAAAAATGTTATTGATTACTCTGTTTCTTGAAAGTTATTTCTTTCTTTGTAATGCTTCTCGAAGCTTACAATTATTACAAAACAGATTTGAGCCCTGGCTGTTCAGAAAAGAAGACACATGGCCAGAGATACGAATATGAACATGCCTATACTTTTCTCAAGTCAAAGACACAGTTCTCACTCTCTGGAAAGGAAAAAAACGTGTTAGTTATGATTGAGGTCTTTGGGGAGCAGAAGTCAACCCACTAAAGTACAAACAAGCTTAAATGTTACCAACATACAAATTCCCAAATATGGAAAGATGGTATCTGATCCTCCAATTCCACTGATAGATGGTATTTGGTGTACTCTACTCTTACCTTATTTAGCCATTCTGCTCTTTCAGTGTCTGGAAAATGAACCTAGGAGAAAAAGATACACATATGACTTATTAACTCCCAACAACTGTAAATAAAACATCAAGCAGGCAATTTCATATTCTCATCCTACGTCCTGTGTTTACATAATGCTTCTTTAAAATACTCTACTCTAAAGCTTTGGAAACTGGTCTCCAAGGAGGGAAAGTGAAATGCATGGCACCCCAGCTCTTTATATCCTGAGAACACCATGAGCAGAAAAGTCGAGTGTGGACAAATGCCATCAGAGCCTTCTCTGCACCCCACTGTCCAGAGGAAAGTCACTGGAATCTGAAACATCATAAAAAATTGATCTTTTCCTTTTAAAAAAACCATGTTTCTAATCTGTCAGTAGTATTTTCATTGTGTTCTAGAAATCTAGGCTCAGACTTTGGCCCTTCCCAGGCCAGTGTGGTGGCACACACCTGCAAGTCCCAGCTACTCGAGAGGATCACGTGAGCCCAGGAGCTTGTCTGCAATGTGGAACAATCATGCTTGTGATTAGCACTGCACCCTAGTCTGGACATTAATGAGATTCCATAAAGTAAAGTAAAAAATATAAAATAAAATTCACTCTTCCCTTTTGCTTTTCTCCTTTGGCCCAAACTAGCCAAGACACACTTTTCCTTAGTTGGCTCCCCTCCACACCATCTCCCACCTTCACCCAGATGGGCATCACCATTACAGTTCTCCAGGTCAGGCCTGGACAATGGAAAAGGGTTCTTATAGGGGAAGAAACCTATTTAGAGCCAGGCGATGGCTCACACCTGTAATCCCAACACTTTGCAAGGCTGAGGCAGATGGATTACTTAAGGCCAGGAGTTCAAGACCAGCCTGGCCAACGTGGTGAAATCCTGTCTCTGCTAAAAATACCAAAGTTAGCCAGGTGTGGTGGCAGGTACCTGTGATCCCAGCTACTCGGGAAGCTGAGGCAGGAGAGCTGCTTGAACCTGGGAGGCAGAGGTTGTAGTGAGTGGAGATCATGCCACTGCACTCCAGCCTAGGTGACAGAAGGAGAGTCTATTTCAAACAAACAAAAAGATGCAAAGAGTGGCCAGGAGTGGTGGCTCACTCCTGGTCTCCCAAAAACTGTAATCCCAGCACTTTGGGAGACCAAGGTGGGTAGATCACGAGGTCAGGAGTTTGAGACCAGCCTGGACAACATGGTGAAACTCCGTCTCTACTAAAATATAAAAATTAGCCGGGCGTGGTGCTGTATGCCTGTAATCCCAGCTACTTGGGAGGCTGAGGCAGAAGAACTGCTTGAACTTGGGAAGTGGAGGTTGCAGTGAGCCGAGATTGTGCCATTGCACTCCAGCCTGGGTGCCAGAGCGAGACTCTGTCTCAAAAAAAAAAGAAAAAAGAAAAAAAAGAAACCTATTTAGAAAAAATGTGGACCAGGTACAGGGGCTCACACTTGTAATCCCAACTCACTGGAAGGCTGAGGCAGGAGGATCGCTTGAGACAAGATGTTCAAGACAAGCCTAGGCAACAAGATGTCCAAGATAAGATGGTCAAGACAAGCCTAGTGAGATTCTGTCTCTAAAAATTTTTTTTAATTAGCCAGACATGGTGGTGCACAGCTGCAATCCCAGTCCCAGCTACTCAGGAGGCTGAGGCGGGAGGATCACTTCAGCCCGGGAGTTCCAGAGGGCTGTGTGCCATGACTGAACCACTGCTCTCTAGCCTGAGTGACAAAGTGAGGCCCCGTGTCTGGAAAAAAGGGAAAGAAAATATTTTCTCTATCATTGGGGCAATAATAAAACATCCTTGCAGAGGAAGGCCAAAGCCGTTTTGGTCACAAATGAGGAGCTTTCAAAGAAGGAAGAGCACATAGACCACATGAATGCTCAGGTAACCATGTTTCTGGTTTAGGTTTCAATGGTCACAGGTGACTGTGAACTGGTGACTGAGATGTGACTAGAGAAATGTTCTGAGGTGTGGAACTGCCATGAGTTACTTTCCTAAGCACAAAGTACTTGAGTCAATGACAGACAGCCCTGAGGAAACCAGACCAGCCTCTGCAGGAGGTGGGCAGAGAATGTTCTCATGGGGGTGGGTGTTCTCTCCTAAGATGGTTTCTTTCATATCCAGCTTCTCTCATGTTTGTATATGAGAAAATGCGGCCCAGCAGCTAATTCTGGGTCCCCCAGAGGCCACTGTCAAGACAGACACCTTGCTACAGCCAGCCAGCGCCCTGTGGCCACCACGCTAACTGGCCTTGAGCCCTCTGCAGGGAGAGGCTGGAGCCTCTGGACCAGAAGCCTAGGCAGGCCTCACTCTGATGCTCCTTGACAGGAAGCATTTAATCTGCTTGAATCATGGAGTGGTCTAGAGTGAATCTGTTCCTAAATTAAGTCAGCTTGACTCCATTCTGGAAAAAACAAAGGAATAGCAACTTTCAAAAAAGGCTTAAAAGTTGGGAAAGACAATATTCAAGAAGACTGAGATCGGGAAAAGTTGCTACTAGAGGCATTTGCTCCAATCCAAGGGAGGTGCCTCTGCCACTGTCGAGGCCTATTCTGAGCAGAAGGGCCTGGGGTACAAGGAGGGGACTGCCTTCCCCAAGGAGCAGGAAGAAATGTGGGGATGGGGTGAAGACAACTGGAGGGCTTGTTAGACTAGCCAAACTGGGTCACAAAACCAAGCATGCAGATGAATTCTGCCATTTCTTCACAGTGCAGTAAAGAAGTTCAATACTGGCCGGGCGAGGTGGCTCAAGCCTGTAATCCCAGCACTTTGGGAGGTCGAGGCGGGTGGATCACGAGGTCAAGATATCGAGACCATCCTGGTCAACATGGTGAAACCCTGTCTCTACTAAAGATAGAAAAAATTAGCTGTGCATGGTGGCACGTGCCTGTAATCCCAGCTACTCAGGAGGCTGAGGCAGGAGAATTGCCTGAACCCAGGAGGTGGAGGTTGAGGTGAGCCAAGATTGCGCCATTGCACTCCAGCCTGGGTAACGAGAGCGAAACTCGGTCTCAAAAAAAAAAAAAAAAAAGAAGTTCAATACTTTAAGTCAGATAAGGAACTCACAGCCTGGCTCCACCCAAGGGTCTGCTCAACACTAAGGCAGGTGTTAAACTGTGGTCCTGCCCAAGTAGCAAGTCACTGTGGGCTCACCTCCTTTGCTGCTTCTTCCCTCTGAATCCAACCACCAGTGATGGCAACAGAAAGGACAGAAGGCAAACCTGGAGCACCTTCTATGTGGGGACAGCCAGGGCTGTGTCCTAGATGTGTTCCTTCCCTCTAACTTCCGAGTAAACCCCAGAGCCCAGATGCACCTCGCTGAGCACAGATATACCTGCCCTTTCTTGTGATGCCGTGACTGTCTACACCTGCTTCCCTTGCAGGTGGCTCCTTGCCTGGCTTCCCAACAATACTAAACTTAGCTACCAGAACAATTACTCTAGAACACAGACATTTCATTTCCATTTACCTTAGTCAAGGCCATGAACTTCTACTTGTTTAACAAACAGTTCAACTTCTCCAGCTTGATCTTCAAAGATCTACTACCTCAAGTCACATTTTCTCCAGTTTACAACATACAAATCTCACTTTTACTATGCTGCTGTTAAATTCTACCAAAGCCATTATGGCTCCTTACACAGAAATGTATTCTTCTCTATTTACCTCTTTTCCTCCCTCCTCCTCCTCTGCCAGTTCCTCCTTGACAATCCACTCAACTCTGCTCTAGATAACCTCTCATCCAGGACAGCACCCGAATCCAACCACTCCCTCCTCCAACCCGCAGTGCCTGGACTTTCAGTCTCTACAGATCACTGTGGTCACACCACTCCATAAACGCTCCTCAAGGGTATCAGGGCAGAGCCCTCACTTCCTGCCTCCAAGCCCATCTCTTACAAACATCAGGCCATTTGAAAGGTCCTCCTCTCATCTTCTCAGCATCAGAGAATTCCTACTGATACAGGATCAGTTACTGACTTTGCCAACTGGGGCAATAAGTATTAGTCCCTATGTTTTTCAATAAACACACAGCAGCAAATCTATTTGTAAATACCATCATATAAACTTCTACTTTCTAGTAAGGTCTTCATAAATTATAAAAAATTAGTACAAGCCAGGCACAGTGACTCATGCGTATTATCTCAGCACTTTGGGAGGCTGAGATGAGCAGATTACTTGAGGCCAGAAGTTTGGGACCAGCCTGGCCAACATAGCAAAATCCTGTCTCTACTGAAAATACGAAAAATTAGCTGGCACAGTTGCAGGCACCTGTAGTCCCAGCTACTCCAGGGGCTGAGGCAGGAGAATTGCTTGAACCTGGGAAGTGGAGGTTGCAGTGAGCCACGATTGCACCACTGCACACCAGTCTGGGGAACAGAGTGACACTCCGTCTCAACAAAACACCACCAAAAAACAATATATAGTCAGATTTTCCAACCAATGAAAATTAAGAGGCCACATATTCTTGAAAACATTATATGCATATGCATGTATATATAGAAACATGTTCTAATATAAGTTACACATGCTTATAAACACATAGAAATTAGCAAGAATATGTACAAAACTAGTAATGAGGAATCTTGGCTCTTATGTTTCCTTCCATGTATTTCTATACTTCTGAAATCCTTGTATGCATGAACTAATACTGTAATTTAGGATTAAAATTAATAAAATGTTTCTAATACAGAAGTACTATTTTTATGTAACAAATGACCAAAATTATGTGAAAGTGCAATTTTCACAAATTAAACCATATTTTAATTATATTAAATGAGAATGATACTTGGAAACAGGATTATCTTACAACCTAAGTAATATACTCCAAATCTGATTTGGAAAGAAAAATTTTTGAAATATCAAGTTTTTAGTTGAGACGGAGTTTCTCCGGGTTGGTCACGCTGGTCTTGAACTCCTGACCTCAGGTGATCCGCCTGCCTGGGCCTCCCAAAGTGCTGGGATTACAGCTGTGAGTCACCACACCCGGCCCTCTGAACATCAAGTGATAAAATGACTCCTGTAAAAAATGTTCCAAAATG